GCATAAAATGTCACAGGGTATAGTTTAGCACTACAATAAATTAGAAGAACACTTGATATCCTACAGTCAAAATTTCAGACATTTATCAATACATGACATTTGCATGCAATATACATTTACATGCATAATTCAAGCAACAAATGACATTTATCAATACCTTCCACTATTTGTGTATGGTTGAATGGAAAAGACAGCATAAGAGCCTTTTAAAAGACAGTAGCAGCAGCAACAAGACACTAATAAATTTTTTAGGTGGAGCATCTTTTACCGAAGCCATCACCAACACTCTTCATCCTTTGTTCAAAATGCCATCCCTGTTACTGGCATTGGTTGCATAAAGGTAAGGTTTTGCTTATTGAGATAATTTAGCATATGAATGAAATTTGGAATGCATGCATGCATTTGGAATGAAACATCATCATGAAACCCTTCCCATCTAAGCAGAATAGGATTGCAATGCCAGGTAAAATTCAACAAAAGATGTTCCAAATGAGGTTCATGAGGATGATTTGCAATGAAAGCTTTGATCAGCTGTCTGCCCTCCTTTGTCATTTGACAAATGGACTTTACCACACACTTATCAGCTGCACTGCATTTCCAGAACCCAAATTCAAGGTCTGCACAGTGTCTAACAAACAATATGCTACACCCAAATTCCATGTTGCATGTGAGCTTTACAGGTAGTAAGTGCAAAACATACTTCTCCCTGATATTATAATTTGCCTTCAGAAAATCATCATCCCAATCAAACACTATAGGCATTGATCAGGCCACGTGCAAAAAAAAACATTATGGATGACACTTTAGGTCAGTTTGACTTGTGTATAGCCTAGCATTCAATTCCTTCTAAAATGGCCAAACACTCTTCAGAAACAACTTAGCCATTACTGCACAGCAGAAGCATAAAAAAGTATGGAAGTTGACATACATTTGTCAGTAATTGCATCACAGAACCAGTCAGCTGAGCGTAATGAGGGTACACTCTTCGCAACTGCTGGGTGAATCACTGCAGTAGTTGGCACTGTCTTAAGTCAAAAATATGCATCCATGGGTACATACAGACATCTAAGGTGTACATTTACCAAATTTGTCTGATTGCATTCCATCTTGCAATAATTTTTAGATGTCAGCTGTAGCAAAAGACTGAAAGATCACAGCCAGTGGCAAAATTCATCTTTCCAGCAATCTGACATCCTAAGAGCAGGAACTCACCTGGACTCAAATCCAAACTTCCATACTTTCTCTGAAGTATGGACATCAAAGCCTCTTGCACACTTGTGACACAGAAGCAAGATCTTCTACGTGCAGGAAACACAAGATGTGTTCCAAAATTTCCGTTGGCAGGGAAAGCAGGGATGTGTCTGCATTCTGCTCCATTGAGCCAACGCAGTTCTTCTCGTTCGAAAACTCGTAGCATCCATCAGCAGCATTCAACAATCGCGTGCGTGTTTCAAATATCAATAGTAGATTCCAAGCTCAGCAGATTCAGCGCCTTGCACGGATAAAAACATACACGATCGGAGCGCGGAATAGAAACGGAAGTCAAATGCGGCGGGTTAACGGTTCGAGAACTGCGGCACGTTACGGTCGGGCCGTTCAAACTTCCAATGAGAAGCGGGGATTTGAAACCATGCCGTGTGG